TACATAGGCACTGTTGGTCGGCGTCGGCGTCAGCGTCAGCGTCGGCGTCTGTGTTGCCTCCTCCTGTTTTTATTTTTTATTTTTTTTTTGGTTTGGTATTCAGAAAAATACAAGTTCTTTTGGAAAAATTTGTTTATATATTTTTTATAAGCAAACACAACACAGCAGAACAGCCACAGCCCAACAACAAAATATTCAGAAAATAGCAAAACACTTAAGGGATTCGCCAGAATATCGCGAACCGCTCTTGATATCAAAATAAATCAATTGAATGTCGAGAGACGGCGGGCACGCGCATACAAAATGATCTCATATTTGATTATGTTGTGCGAGCATAAATGCTTCGGAATATTCCATGAAATCATGCAACCGTGACGTAAACAAACTTTTACCCGCTGGGTGTGGTCCTCCAAAACGTGGTAAGAGAGTAAAAATAAAAAATAAAATCAATTAACTGAAATCGAAATTGAAACTGACTTGGCAGTGCGAAGTGCAGAGCGCAAATGTTTGACTTTTAGCTGAGGTCTGCAGTGGGTGTCAAGTACTTATAGATATAGCGAGTGAACCGCTTGCATTGGGTTATAGTCAGCAAAAAACCAGAAACATCAGACTTTCAATGATCCTCACGATGCATTGAAATGCACACTAAGCGACTACAATAAAACCCCCAAACAGCTGATAGACTGGTTAGACAATAGCGTAGACAACAGCGATGACGGGACTTACGACGTCGTGACATTCCCCAATCAAAACAGCTGTACGAACGACCGCTATACCATAACTAGTACCCATACTGACACCCAGTATAGGTAACAATCTGGACACACTCACACGAATATGATTCTTCAACTACAACATCGTCATCATCTTTGTCGTTGTTGATGTTGTTGATGCTGTTGTTGTCGTAGTCTCTGTCGGCGCGTCGTGTGCGCACAGATAAGCGCCTGGCAAACACGTTGGACGAGCGTCTATAGTATAGAGCTCTGAGCAGCGGCATGAGAGTTCTAGCCAACTATGACCAGGCACAAATCGTAAAAGCCACAATTAATTTCTGACCCTCAATCAAGCAGTGAGACTAAAACTAAACGGCTATATGGCAATAAACACCACGGGCCGCTGAAACGCTTGGCAACTACTATAAGTCAGAAATATAAAAATATACTTTTGCAGTATATAATATATATATACAGATACTCAATAATATATGTTTGTATATGTAAGTAGAAGAAATATTTATCACCGACGCACTTAACTTTTGTTTTTGCTTTCATTTAAAATAAGTCAAAAACGTGACAAAAGTATTTGTTGCTATTTTGCTCAATTTATTTATGGACTGCCTGACTGTGCTTTTTTCTGCCTCTATCTCGCTCTCGCACACACTCTCTCGCTCGCCCTCTCTTTGATTGTTTTGTTTAGAAGTGTAAATAAATTGATTAGTTTCTGTAAGTTGTTTTGCGATCTCTTGATCTCTCAAATATTTAAATACTGAAAGGAAACCTGTTGCTGAAGATTAGAGTTGTTTTTTTTTTTTTTCTTGTTTTAGTTTTTTGTCGAATCTAGCCTCGCAGAAAACCAGTCAACAACAAGATGCATACGAGTGGAGCATGTTATTAAGCATCGTTTGCTATGATTGTGCATAGCAGATTAGTTCCAAGAAATCAGATAAAAATAATGAGTACCATATGCTAGCGAACAACAACTCGTTAGTCGGCAGAAAAAAGCTTTCTTTTTTTTCTTTTGTTTCGCTCTTAACCCATTGCTAAAGAGTAAACAGGGTATTACGATGATTTGCGAAAGCATATAATATAGAGTACACTTGCCTAACCATATAAAGTTTCTAGATATCATACCTCATATCAACTGTCTCATTGGACTATGAATCTGTCTAGAAGATTTGAGTTATAATTCCTTAAAGTTTGTATAATGCTCATGTAATATGTATTCGTAATCGTGGAAGTATTCCCTAGTCAGTTATTCCCCACAGACAGATCAATCTAACTTGCTTTCATGCGCTTCATAAATAATTGATTATTGAATGAAGTATGGAAACTTTAAATGTGGTTTACCTAGAAGTACGATCACATTTACAGCAGTCACTTCACAACACTTTGACTCATTCAAGTCTGTCTAAATTCATTTATGGACTTGTCGGATTCTATTGGATAAGGTGAAAATACTTCCAGTGAATTACGCAGACCAACAAACAAACAATGCCGTTAGGCAAATAAGATAGGACAGTTTTCCTATTTGCATAAACTAGATATTCAAAAAGAACCATTTCAAAATCAGTAAATATTGAATTTATATTATAATAATAAATTACATGCAAATTTTTTGTAGTTGCAGTTTTTTTTCAGTTATTCGCATGAAATAAAACCTAAATTGTTTCCATATACCCAAAAGGCATATTGCGTACATAGACTTATATGCATACACGAGTATACAAAAATATTCCAAAATTTATCGAAGTATCCACTTTACACGTGGGGAATATTAAAATTTGCTTGCAATTCCAAATTCTACCCAATTCGCGTGGTTAAACAGCCAAGGTACAATAATTGAGTTGTGTATATCTGATGAATATTACAAATAGATGTATAATATATGCTCATATGGAAAACACATGTTCACAAATGGTTTATCAATTGAATTGGAATACCATAAATTTAACAACCAAATGGAAAATATTCTATTTTTAAAATTGTTGAAAACTTATTTTACCGAAAAAATTAACTTGTTGCACTATCATGACATGTAAAATAAAATATCCGCTATTTACAAAATCTGTTCACTATAGTAAGGTTTAGACGAAAAAACGAAAACTGTCGTAAAGCAAACTTCGGATTACCGTTTAATTTACTCTCCCTTGAGTTTCTATATGTCCCAATATTAAACATTATGATCGCTCCCCAAAGTCCCCAAAACCATTTGGTTACACTATAAAGTACTTAGAAAGTTTCAGGTACCTCGGATACTTGTATTTTCACTTTGATCATAACAGTGCCATTCAAATGTTTACGCTTGCTGAATGAAATTCGCAATAGAGTGTTGTTGCTATTGTTGTTGTAGTTGTTGTCAAACTTTGCTGTGGCTTCCTCTGTGTATGTTTTAATGATGTCGCTACCGGCGCAGAATAATAAAATATTTCTATGCGGGCGCACAAATTGGGGAGTCATAAAACAATATAGATACATACATACATACATATATACACATGAATATAGAAGAAACAAAAAAGTGTATGTACATATATAAATAATAGAATTTGAGTGCCAGAGTCAGTGACAAGTGAGGTATCTAAGGAAATAACAAACATTTGGCTGTAGATCAATTAGCAACAACATTTTTAAAAGTCTATTTCAATATATATGTACATATGTACATGTCTGTACATAAGTATGCATGTGTGTATGTATGTGTTGAATGTGTGTGATTTTTGTTTATTTTTAAAAGGCACACTTACACACCTAAGTAGTGCCAAAACATATACATACACACAGCCACACACAACACTCATACTCATCCACGCACCCATACATATACATACATACATATGTACATGCATTTGTGTTGAAGCCGTGGCCACAGTGGGTTGCATAAATTTGTTAATTGCTATTTTTATATGCGACACTTGGCGACTGAAATCGATTCGAATATTGAACAAAACTTTCCGCTGGTCTGTGAGAACTTGCTATGACGCCGCTTGCCGCTGCATTTCAATTGTCGTCAATTAATGATTCTCATAACACTACACATAACATACATACATACATACATGCATATATACATACACACCATTGAGGCCTGCCTGCATACATATTAAATAATGCACTTTGTAGTTATTGTTATTGATATTGTCTTATTGATTTTAATAAACAAACTATTTATAAAGACGAGCACAATATACTTGAACTTTTGATCGTCCTTAAATCTACAATTTGCAAATTCCAATTACTATTTTTCAATTTTACTATCTTTGTCTGGTCTGCTTCGCAGCCAGACTCACACACTGCACACTATTTACCGTTAAGTCCTCTGAGTGCGTTTGACCATGCTCCGACTGCTGCTCCCGTTTTGTTATTTTGTGTGCTTCTGTTTCGTGGTCGTCTGTTGCGCGAGCGCCTTCGTGTGACTGTTCATCTCTGATGCTACTGCTCCTCCTCAGGTATTCCGAATATCGGCCATGACTTCGAGAGCCGAAACAACCACAACAATAATGAAACTATTGAGGAAGAGATGAGCAAGAGCGCAGATGCAGTGCACAATAATCAAATGATAGACGACTAGTTGCTCTGTACTCTGCTCACAACAAATTCGATTCTCAGTGAGAATAATTCTACTCGACTTAAATTACATACATAAATACGTATGTGTGTATGTAACCTGGATGATGTACAGAGAAGCATAAGTCCATTCATATATGTACATATGTATGTACATAGATATGTGCACTTGAGCATTTCCCATTAATTAAATATTATTAGCTTTGAAGTATTGCGAATAATTTTGTAATTTTTGCCAATATTTTTTCGATTATTGCTATGCTATTGCTATGCTATTATAATATAAATAAAAGTTTGTTTAATTTATAAATAGGAAGAGTATACAAAAGCAATACTATTGCATTTTCTCTTTTCTTCTACTGCTTCGTTGCGCATCCCCTTTTCAAAAACACGTTGCGTTTGCAATGTTTTTCGTCTCTGTCATTGCCATTGCCATCAGCTGTTGACGGGTCGTTTTGTTTTGCTTGCCTCTGCTTTGCTTGGCGCTGCTTTTCTGTGCGTTTTACATACCGTAAGCACGACGTGCCTTGC